GGGGGTGGGGACACTGACATCTCTTGGTGACCACAAATTTTATATACTGAAGTCACAATATATTGCAGAAGACAAATAAACCTACCACACACATTTACAGCTTACCAAGAAATAATGGAAACCATAAAAAGAAAAAATTGCATAAAAGATTGTTTGCGATTTACATAGTTAGATCTAAGTTTTTTTTAAAAAAGGTACGGTAATTAATAATAATGATGCCATAGGTATAGTTGTAATTAGTAAGTAAACAGAAACGACACATTATCATTATTACTGCTCATATTATTACGTTACTCCAAAAGAAAATGACATATTAACTCTTAAAAAAAGTACTACTTGGGACCACTTAATGTCTTGAATTGTCTATCTGCTATGATTCAAATGAAAACCTGAGCACTGCACCGTTTTGGCCCTAAGTAAACGGCAGAATGTAATGCAGCGCATTTGGAATTTTGGGAGGCTTACATATAGTTTTATACTGGTAACTATTGGAATATCTATATATAGGCCTAGCACTGCAATTTTTTCCTTTAAATTCTAGCTCTCAATTTGCATGTGTAATAGCAACATTTTAGTAATTATAGATATAGTCTAACGATAAATTCACACTTAACTCAACTATAAGGTGATAATTTGGAATCTCCCATCTCTAAGTAAATATATATATATATAAACAACAACATTGTGTATGACCTTACATTTATTTTGGCGGAAATTTACCAACAAAGCTTAAGGGATACCACACAAGAATTTAAACAAGAAAACAAGTAACTTTTTACTATTTGCTTTGATTTTTTATATATATATATAAAAGATAATTATAGTAATGTGTGAGAGGTAGGATTGAAAAGCAAACCTTCAAAAGATGTTCGCGGCTCTTCAAGATCTTGGCTGCACCTATAAGCATGGTCACGTGTGCGTCGTGCCCACAGGCATGCATTTTGCCGGCAACTTTGCTTTTGTGTTCCCAATCCACTGCTTCCTGCAAACAAATATTCACCCAACTGTTAATGTTATCATGATTAGGGTTTTGCCTTTTCATGCTAACCAAGAGCAATATAATCTGAAAAGGTAAAGTAAATGTAAGTACCACGCACTAGATCTCATAAATGTAGATGTATAATTTAATGCTGATATGCTAGGCTGTAACTAAAAAAGAGAGTTTGGTTATATGTACCTTTTGCCGTAATGTTAAATTTTTTTGAGATAAAACAAAAAAAAATGTTAATATAACCACCAAGAAACTTATTTCCTTCTCTCGCTAGCTAGCTTTTATTTGCCAGTTAGACTATTTTCGTTTACGTTTATCTTCTTTCTACTGACACAACTCTGTTTCATAAATTTAATCATTCTGTACTTTTGTCAATATGTACTAGAACATACAAATATGTACTTTATTTTGGTATTTTTTTCGTCTATATCACTCTCGTAAATTTTATATTTCATGTCAACATTAAGAAAGGAAAAAACTTAGCAACCCTAAATAAGGTGATACTTCTAATCTTATACCAATTTTATCCCAAGAGGAAACACTACTAAAAAGTTTCTTTTCCTTTTCAAAAGGTACACAAATTTGTATTTGAACCTAGACAAGCGGAAAAAAGAGAGAGAAAAAATAAAAAAGAGTGAATTTGAAGTTTGAACCACCAATAACAAAATGTGAAAAAAAAAAAAAAAAAACCACAAAGAGAGAACAAGTGTGGAACTTTTTTTCAAGTACTGTACGCAAAGTATTAACCATCTTGACTTTGAAGCAACGACATATCCCTCTTCAAATACCTGGATAGGAGGAGCGTCCATGTCAGCTCTGATGGCGACGAAAGGAGGGCCTCCGGTGCCGATCCAAGCCCTAATCCCGGTTTTAGCCAGCGGGAACCGGTAGGCAATCTCCATCCGGTCGAGCTCGTTCCTGATGAGCCGGCTCGTCTCGAATTCCTCGAAGGCGAGCTCTGGGTTCTCGTGGATCCTCCTCCTCACAGTCCTCAGCCACTCCACCGTCTCCGGCCTCCTCGCCAGGCTCAGAACCTCTTCCGAGCACTCCTCCGTCCAAACATCGCACCGAGAAAGCCCCGCCGACGGTACCGCCAGTCGGCTCAGGTTCTTGTGCACTGCCGAATTTTCCGCTTCTCCCTTCTTGCAGCAGCTCAGGTCCAACAGCGTGCTGTACTCGTGATCAGCCGAAGATATTGGACCTTTCGACTGCACTAATAAGATTTGACAGTTTAAAATTGCGCAATATGTTATGATTAAGGAGAGGAACAAATTACGGAAATTGATCATTTTGAGGAACGGAAGAGAGGAAGGATATATATCTGAGAGGGTTATCAATGGCTGAGAATAATATTAGGAATGGAAAACAAAAATTAAAAAAAAAAAAATAGTAATGAGGAAGAAGAGAAAAGGAGAAGAAAGAGAAGTAAAACAAAGGGAGAATTAGAGCACGTGGGGATAAACAGACCGGAGGGAATTTCGACACGTGGTGGGATTATGTCAATTGATGGGTCAATTTGCTGACGGTGGGTGGTCCCTGCCACTTTTTTTTTCTTTTTTTATTTTTTGGGAGGCACCGCGCACTCTTGCACCGGCCTTCAAAACGGAACAGATTAACACATCCAGATTCGTGAATTACGCAAAAATATATATATATATATATATATATTAAAAAAAATGAAAAGTCAGGCTTTCTTTTTGTATTTCTCTTCCCGTCCTCCGTTTTTCTTCCGTGTATTATGAGTGTCAATACTTTTTGGTGATTTATTAATTTTTCGTTAACCTCAAATAAAAGTTGATTTAATATTTTTCACCTGAGTACATTTACGGGGCAGTTATTGACGCCGTTAAATTATAAATTATTTATATTTGATTGGCAAGAAAATCGGAACGTGCCATGAATATCTGCCCGACGATTACGCTAGCGGTCAAAATCCAATACCAGCAGTTAAACTATAAAACTGTTGAAGAAAACTGCCAACGGGTAATTCACCTTATCCGTTACAGACGTTAGAGTAGTTGAGAAAAAAAAAAGGCGTGGATACGACAGATTGATCAGTGCTTTTTTTTTTTAATTAAAAAAATAACGAGTCAACTTATAACTTAAATTTTATTATTAGATTATTTTTTCTTATAAAAATTTAAATTTAATTTTTTTATTAAAAATCTTTTTTCTCATACACACAATTTAAATTCTTAACTTGATAACAAATATTTTTTAATTTATTTAAAGGAGTATAAAGGTATTTGGCCACTATTTAGGGGTTTTATTTAAAGTAAATAATTTGAAGTTTTGTAAAATGAGTAAAATGATTGATTTTTAGGTTAATTACTGATTAACTCAGTCTAAAATTCATTTTTTTTAAAGGAAATCTATCACTCATTAATTTAGTGGTTTATTAACTTGATAACTCTTTATTGTTGATCAATTAGTGCTTAACCAAATTAGTTAGTGATCAACCAAGTTAGTTAGTAATTGATTAAATTCAATTAACAAATTACAAGTTTATTAGTGATAAACTGAATTAATAAGAATTCATTTTATTATTTATTGACTATAGATCAATCATTGATTGACTTCTACAAAAAATTGTCATTTTTTTAAAATAAAAACAGTTCAGCCACTTGTTTAAGAAATTAAACGTGTGGTCATTTTATTAAAAAAAGTGGAAAAAACAATAATAATTGAAACTGAAGTAAGCGTAAAGGCTGACAATCCGGGTAGCGACATGACGACACGACTTGAAACCCGCACAAAATTAGCGGGTTTGAGTTTATCATAAATAGGTCCGGGTCAAAATCAGGTCAAACCCGTAAAACACGATTAAATAACGTGTCATTTTCAGGTTGACCCGCCAACCTACAATTGACCCACCATAACCCATTTATTAAACGTGTCATATTTGGGTAACACGAATACACAACCCGTTTATTATCCATTTTATAAACAGGTTCAAAAATAGGTTCAGAAATTGGTTAACACGACCCATTTATCACCCATTTTATAAACGGGTTAACATGTAATCAACAGGTTGACACTACATGTTTATGACCTGTTTAATAAATGGGTTATTCGTGTCGTCTCGTCTCAACCCGTCAATATACAGGTCGTGTTTGGGTTTTGTATTTCAACACGATTAATAAACGGGCGTGTTCGTGTCAGGCCTATTCGTGTCAACAAAGGGAGTCAACACGACACAAACACAACCCACCAACATGAATTGCCACCCATGATATTACCAATTCAATTAAAATTAATGTGCACCAATAATAATTGGTCCCATTTTTTTCCATCTGTTTTAATTCTTCAAACTGTAATAAGGTAAAAATATGCAAATTGCTTTATGCTTGTATAATGTGGTTGCTTGTTTAATTTACATAAGAATTTAGGAACTTTCTACGACAAGCCTCCCTACTGATAGTATTAGTTTCTGATTGTTAAATCTAGTCAAAATCATATCATATTAAAAGAAATATACAAAACAAATGGTTTCTGATATAATTTGACAGCTGAAAGTAGAGAACCACCAGTAGTTTAATTTTTAGTCCTACTAGAGAAACTTCTAAGAATTTAATAGTAAAACAAATGAAAAGTTTTTATTATGATTGTTGGTCCGTTTGGCGCACTATACTTTTTTTTGGGTATTTTACACATTTGTCCTTACAATTATATAATTTTAGTAATTTGCTCTCTGAACTTTTAATTTTAACAAGATATGCACCTATAAAATTATTACAATATACCTCATTTTAATGATGATTGTGTTATTAGTCAAAAAGACAATTTGGACAAAAAATTTAAATATTTTAATTTAAATGTAATACAAATCTTTCAATTATTTACTTTTTAGTCCCTTAGTTTGATAAAAAATTTAGGTAAATTTAATAAAATAGGGTACATTATAACAGTTTTACAAGTTCGATGGTTAATTATCAACAATTAATATTTAAAGGGTAATTTGCAAAATTACGGCAAATTCAGGGGGTAATTTGCTAAAAACACTTTTCTTTTTCAACCGATTGCTACCTTGTAAGTATTTATTGCTTTTTCGTACAAGGCCATGAACTTTTTTTTTTCCTCTGAATAAGGCCATGGACATGTGGTAAATATTCATTAACTCTCTCTCTATAATATCTATCTCTCTCTTGAGCACCTAATCTTGCTTTTTTTTTTTTACCGTCAAAGCTTTGCAAATATGACATGTGTCAGAAAATTTGAATCAAAATTTAACTTTTTGTGAAATAAAAATAATGTAGTAAAACCACGAAGCAAACAAGCCAATCAATAGTCGTGATGCTGGAAAAATATTTTTGTCACGTGGTGAATTAGGTGTTCCATCTCACTATCTCGGTGTCAAAGACAGAGACGTGAACACATTACCATATATATATATATATATATATATATATATTTTTAGTGATCTCGCCGTAATATCACGGTATGGCTTGGCCACAAACGGCGTAAAAACAGGTCAAGAGTACATAATTGACCGAAAATATTCACATTTTTTGGGTGTTTTTTTAATTAAAAGTATCAGTATTTTTTACTTATCACTGTTAGATTTATATTAAATTTATTAAAAGTAAAATCAAATTAAAAAATAATTCAGATTCGATAACTGTTAAATAAAAAATTACAGTATTCCTAAAAGTATAGAGAACATCAGGACAAATTTCTTTTTTTTTTATTATCGAAGTGTACTCTATATATTTATTTATACAGTATTTATTCACTAACCCAAGTTTGTCAAGGGTTTTGTATTAGTGATTATTTAATTATTACATGATTTTATATATGTTCATAAACACAGTTTTTCCCACCAATTACTAAATGAGCCTTACGTCAAATATATGTCACCAATTTTTGAACATGAGCTTTTTAGACAGTAAAGCTTGTAAAGTTTATAAATTCATAATCATATTTTGAAATTGGGCTAATTGCAAAAGCGTCCTATATTTTAAACATTTTTTTCTTCTAAGTGCAAAACTATATTATATATTTTCTTTACAAATTCTCTTTGATGTCAACGACATATTTCTTGGTCAAAATCAAGAAGTAAAATAATTTTACCTTAAAAAAGATAACTAACTACGGGCTGCTAATTACTAATTGGGATAAGAATATTAAACATGTTGTTGGTTACCGAATCGAATTCGGATACGGAAGCGTGGGGGAGGCGGATCGTGTATAACAAAAATTTTTATAAAATTTTTAAAATACTCTATAGATTATATTAATTTATGCACGAATAAATTAATCTCATTAATTCATTTATTAAGAACTCAATTACGAATAATACCTGGCGGCCGATTAGGATGATAACTTGAGTTCTTTGACCTCAAACAATTCTTGCTCCAAAGCTTTGTGTTTAGAAAACCAATGTCTTCCATGTCAATTCCTAGAATCTACGAAGACGTATGTGTGGGCACACTTGAGACAAAACGGGTAACACTCGAATTTTCACAAATACCAACGCATGCATGATGTGAAATTTATGGAGAAAATTTTTTCCTTCCCTCTCTAAGAGAATTTCAGCCACTCCTTAAAAATTAGGGCAAAAATTGTTTCAAAAATTATCTCCAAAATTGTTTCTACTATTCTCTTATTTATAGAGTAGAAGTCAAACTTCTAGAAGGAATCCAATCTCTATCTCCAAGATAAAGCTTGTTAATTATCTCCTATTTGAATTTGGAACAAAAACTCCTCTTTTTCTTTATCCATTGTGGCCGGCCACCTTAGGGGATTCTTATCCCCGTGTAGGCGCCAATATCAGATAGGGAAGGAAGAGAAAATCATCATTTATCCTGTAGTCTAATTTTGACTCAAATTTAAATTTCAATTTAAGTCAAACTTAAACTAATTTGAATTCTAAATTGAACAACTTATCAAATAAGTTTAAATGGATAAAACTAGATGTGTTCAAATTCAAATTTAAATAATCACATTATTTAAATAATAATTAATTCTCAATTAATTATTTTCGA